CTGCTGCCACACTCTGCGGAGAAAACGAGTAAGAGTGAGAGGGAGTTACAGTGGTGAGCGGTGGAGCGGTGGTGGTGAGTGGGCGCCCTGGTTTCCAGCGGTTTTGGCTTAGTTGCACTTACTAATTTCTGACTGCGACTGGCATTGATCTTTGCTTTGCTTTGGCTTTGGCCGTCTGCCCGAACCCCCCCCCGCCTGTCCGCTCGCCCGTGCCGAAGCGGCGGCGGCCGCAAAATGAAAGGAAAAGTAAGTTACGATTACGTTAACGTTGGAAGTTAACGTTAACTGTTAACCAGAGGGAAAGGTAATTGCCAGTTGGCCGAAAAAAAAGGGAAAGGAAATGTTTCCTTTTGCTGTGATTTTTGCTTGGCCAAGTGTCAAAAATGTGGCCACAGCCAGCACCACCATAGATTGTCACACAGGCCCCCCCCCGCCCAAAAAAGACCCTGGGTGGAGGGAGACCTGGGACTGGGCCTTGGCTGAGCTGGCGCCAAATTAACCGGAAATGTCACAATGGCAATGGGCGACGTGCGGCCCGCTGCCCGTTTTGGAAATTATACAATTTTGTCACGTGACATGCATTAGAAGCACACACACACACACACGCACACCCAGAGCCAGAGCTGGAGACCCCAGCAAGACGTGCCAGACGACAGACGCAGTCCAAACAAATACATGGAATAAAAAAAATTATACAAAAACAACAAACAGTTAAAGGCCGACAAGAAAGTCCAAGTAAATTGTAAAGAATGAATGATAGAATATCAAAGATAATGACTATAAAGCTACCCTGTGTACACTGACCTAAGAAACGCAAGTCTGAAACATTTTATTACATTTAATTTACTTTAAAACAGAATAAAATATATAAATAAAAATATTTCCAAGTTTATTAGCTGAAAAAAAAATTTAAATACTTTTAAAGTTTTATTTAAATTATTTCTTAAGCAAAAATCTACAATCATCCCCTTTGTAGCCAATACTTAAAATAATCGACCCTATTATAGGCCATTTAATGGATACATGAAAACCCTAATACGCCCCTCACTTAGACGAGTGTGAACCCGTCAAGACAGCTAAATGTCAACAAAGCACGCGAAATTCCAGCGCAGGACTTTCACTGGTCAAAGTTCTTCGGCTGAATCATACGAGTAGAGGGTCCCGTACCCCCCAGGGGTCCCACCGAATTTGACACCGCGACAGTTGCCACACGGCTAAGGCAGAAGAAGAAGAAGCCGCAAAAGCGCGAGAACGAGAAACCAAACCAAGAGCCCGCTTTGAAGTCTGAGCCCCAACTGATTTGCCTTCTTGGGGAGCGAGCCACTAAACTGTACGTTTTGGTTTGGGGGGACGCTTTGAAGTGGCGTAGTTTTCGCGTCTTAACGCACTTTCTGGCAAAATCAGCAAAGCCCAAAAGAAAAGCCCAACACAACACAACCCAACCACCCAGAAAAGATGGCGGAAATGCTTCAATTTCAAAGGCGAAAAAGCCGCCAAGCGGCGAAAAGAGATAGCTACACATACGCCCACCATACACATACATACGTGAACGCGGAGGAGTCCCATATGTGTGGTGGCGTTTTTTTTTTCTTCTTTTTTTTGGTGGTTGGCGGCGCTCACTTTCACTTTCCTTCACACCCAAAATTGATATCGGTTTTTTTTTTGTTCCCTCATTCTGTTTCTTTTTATTTTGATTGGGAAAGAGATCCTTGGGTGGGTGTATCAAACCCAACCCCTTTTAGGATATTGCCTGGGGTTGCAATGCTATCAAAGCAGAAGTTTTGGCCATGATTTGGCTTTGGCTTTGGCTTTTGCTTTGACTTTGACAGAAAGATGAAAGCTATATGAAATGACAATTGCTAAAGGCACGAATGATGAGAGATTTTTGTTGTTTTTGTTGTTTTTGTTGTTGTTGTTGTGCTACCCAATCCATCATCATCATCATCATCAACAGCACATGAATAATAACAATAATTATGACACATGATAGCTCTGCTAACCCATTTTCTTTCCCTCTATTGTGTTCTGTTCTGCCACTTGATGAATGACCAACTCATGCCGCATTTAAAAAAACAACAATTTCCAGTCTAGAGTCTAGACCGAAAAACGAAACCTCACATTAATCTCTGACACTCGCAAAACTGAAAATTAATTTCAAGTTTTAATTATACATTTTTTTTTTTTTTGTATACCGTTGAGAGCTACCGTTGGAGGAGCAGAGCCCCAAACGTCAAGGTCAATCAATGGCGCAGAGCAGAGAGAGAGAGAGAGAGAGAGAGAGAGAAAGCAAAACATAAATCCAAGCCAAGTCTGTCTATCCAAAACACCGTTAATGCAATAACTCATGTCTGGAGCTCAGCTTTTGTATATGGAATATACATATACATATGTATGTTTATACTGTGTACACATATTTTTTTTATATCATTTCTCTCTGGCGGATCGCATCAAAATCAAATTAGTTCCAAGCGTTGATTTTTCTTCGACTGTGGCGCTTCATGCTCGTTGATTTCTAGCTAATTTTTTGTATATTTTGTTGTTGCTTTTCAAAAGCCGCACAAATGTGTAATTATAATGCGAGAAGCGGGCGAACGCATTTATCGCCACGATCAAGCATACAACACACACAAACACATCCGCTGTGATATAAAGCTTGTAATTACGTAGCTAATTTACATGAATTTCCAGGCAAACAACCGAACATCCTTTATGCGGCGAATGGCCAGCCGGCCCAGCATGGCAGCGAGAGACAGAGACAAAAAGAGAGAGAGCGAGAGAGAGATTCCCAAAAGTAGAAATATTTCCCAAGAATAAATATTTTCTCCAGCCAAAGTAGGCGCTGAAAAATGCGAATGTTGGCCTGAACCTGAACCTGAACTCGAAGCTGGCCGGACCTGGCTTTGGCCTATCTGCTATTTGGCATCATCATGGTCATGGCGTGGTCACGTCACACAGGGCCATCGCTGTTGACCATCATTGACGTTGTGTATTTCTTTCTCTCTCTCTCTCTGTCCTACCGACTCTCTTCCTGTTTCTCTTTGTGGCTGTGTGTGTGCGGCGATTGTCAATGATAGTGAGGCAGAAAGAAAGATTGGCCTATGGTAGCCGAAGCTTTCATACACTATAGATCCATTCCATTCGTTGCTACACCCATCAAAAGGGCAAATTAAATTAAATATTCGGTTTTTACATACAATAAATAGTGAAATGAAATAGAATTCACTTTGAAATAGTCTTTTAAGAAATACATTAATATATATTAAATATATAATTAAATTAATTAATTAATTTAATTAAATATATTTAATATATTTAATAATATATTAGATATAATAAAATATATCTATTAAATTTGTAAGAAAAATATTTAATCTAAATATGAAAATATTTAATCTAAAAATTAAAATATTTAATTTAAAAATAAAAATATAATTGAATATGAAAATATTTAAACTAAATAAGAAAAAAAATTAATCTAAATATGATAATAATTAATCTAAATAAAAAAATATTTAATCTAAATATGATAATATTTAATCTAAATATGATAATATTTAATCTAAATGTGATAATATTTAATTTATATATGAAATACTTAATTTCATTCATATTCAATACAATTAAACAATTAAATTAAATCCAATAGTAAATATGAAAATTTCAGGACTTTTTACTCTGGTTGTATGCAAGACAATAAGTCCAAGCTCTCTCCCACAAATGCCTTACACATTAACTTGCAAAATCCCAGTACCCACTCTCTGCAAAAAGGGTACATCAAGTCGTGGCCAACAAGTGGCGCATCGTTGTTGCTGTCTGTCCTCATTTGCATTGGGGCCGGGGCACAGTTGGCGTAGAAATTCTTGCAATTTTCTACATATGACATGCCACGCCCCAGTCGCAATCGCAGATTCGCCCCATCCTCTATCTCCTTCTGTCTGTCTCTCTCTCTCTGCCACTGCAAATGGTCAAATTATTTCCTTTTCCGCATTTTCCAGCCAAAGCATTCACGCGCACGAAAGGATTTCTTGTAATTTGGCTGCAACTTGAAAAGATATGCCTGAAGAACGGATCAAACGGGAGATGATGATGTGGAGAGGCGAACAGAACGGCGGTGGGGAACGGGGATGATGAAAGGGATTCAGATTCGGATTCTGTGGCTGTGACTGTGGTTCTGTGGCTGCCAGGCCGCCGCCGCCTTTGCTTTTTGGCGACTTTGCATTTTTATTTGTGAATGATTTTTTTTCATCGCTATGATTTTTCTCTCTCCCACTTCCACTCTCTCTTAGCTCCTTCTCACTCTATCTATCTTTTTCTCTTTCATTTTTTATTTTTCTCAGCGCCTTGCCTTCTGCTTTTGCTTTTGGCAGCGGCGGCGGTTTGTTGTGCAGCTTTTGTTTTATCAAAAAAAAAAAACAGAAAGAAATAAAAGCAGGGCCATGATGTGTGTGTGTACCTCCTCTCTCACGGGGGCAGATTGAGTCCGTTTGTTCAATGATGGGCTGGCCTGACTGCTGCTCCTCGTCGTTGCAGGGATTCTGCATCTGCATTTTGCATCCGTGCATTATGCACACTCATTACCCTTACCCTTACCCCTACCCCTACCCCGCATTATCCTTGTGCGCTCGTTCACTTTCATTTCACATTTTCGCATGTGTTGTTTTTTTTTTGTTTGTTCTTCCTTATTTTTTTATTATTATTTTATGGGCCCCCTCACCGCCCTCTTTTCTTGCCACTTGAGACATTGCTTTGTTCTGTGTGAAGCGAAGGGGTTATACCCAAAAAGCTTTTAACGTGAGAGCAAAATGCATTTTGATGGGAAAAAATGCAATGCAAAAATTCGCTGCAGTTGCCAGGTAAAAAAAAAAACCTATTCCAATCTGTTGTAGGTAGATTTTCCAATAATATTGAATTACAAAAAAAATATATATGTGTACATATATGTATAGTTAGAATCGAAGTAATCTTTGCCAGAAACTTTATTGCTTGATTTGTTTTGGGTTTGTTTGGCTTTCTGTTCAGTCTTCAGTAGAAATACGAAGATAAAGTATCGTTTTCGTCACATTACAAGTGTAAAAGTTTCACAATATAAATTCAAATACGGATTATATCGCTCTGGTATTGTCCCCTCCACCCACCCCGCCAGTCATACAGAAAGGAATCAGAAGCAGCGCAAATGTGTTCCGGCCATCGATTGTGGTATTTCCAGTGATCTTTGTGTAGCTACCGACGAGGCAAACCCCAAAAAAATATGAATGCGGATACCGCGGACTACTCGGACGAGGATCACGGCGACGCGGATCGCTCACCGCACAGCTGCAGCGGGTCCCCGTCCCCGTCCACATACAGCATGTACACCGATAGCGATGAGGACACTTGCACCGAAATAGTCCTGCCCGAACGGGAGCCCAAGCCGAGCAATGCCGACCAGGATGACTTCAAGTACGAGGTGCTGTCCGTCAAGCAGATCGTCCAGCATCAGTGGCATGTCATCGACGAGGTGAACAGCGTGCTGAACCTGCCGCCGCAGGTCACGCGTTGCATCCTCAATCATTACAAGTGGAACAAGGAGAAGCTGTTCGAGGAGTACTTTGAGAGCAGTCCGGAGGAGTTTTTCCAGCGTGCCCATCTCGTCAATCCCTTTACCATGCCGGCCCCACACGTCAGCTTTGGGGGGGGCAGCGCTCTGGATGTGGGACAGGGGTCGCAGGACATGTGCGGCATCTGCTGCTGCCCCAGCGATGATCTGAGGGGACTGGGCTGTGGCCACCGATTCTGCGCCGAATGCTGGAAGCAGTATCTGGCCAGCAAGACCTTCGGCGAGGGCCTGGGCCACACCATCGCCTGCCCGGCCGATGGCTGTGACATTGTCGTGGACTACGTCTCCTTCCTGATCCTGGCGGACAACCGGGAGGTGGTGGCCCGCTACCAGCAGCTGATCACCAACACCTTCGTGGAGTGCAACCCTTTGTTGCGCTGGTGTCCGGCCCCCAGCTGCTGTCGCGCCATTCAGGTTAGCTGTCCGGAGGCACGCGCTGTGCGCTGCAAGTGCGGCCATCAGTTCTGCTTTGGGTGCGGTGAGAACTGGCACGAGCCGGCCAGCTGTGCCCTGCTGAAGCAGTGGCTCAAGAAGTGCCGCGAGGACTCGGAGACCTCCAACTGGATTGCCCAGAACACCAAGGAGTGCCCCAAGTGCAATGTGACCATCGAGAAGGATGGCGGCTGCAATCACATGGTCTGCAAGAATCCCAACTGCCGCTACGACTTCTGTTGGGTGTGCCTCGGCTCGTGGGAGCCGCACGGCTCCTCCTGGTACAGCTGCAATCGCTTCAACGAGGAGGAAGCGAAGAAGGCCCGCCTCGCCCAGCAGCTGTATCGATCGACCATGGCCCGGTATCTGCACTACTACAATCGCTACATGAATCACATGCAGAGCGCCCGCCTGGAGCACAATATCTATTGCAAGGTGCAGGCCAAAATGCAGGCCATGCGGGAGACGATGACCTGGTTCGAGGTGCAGTTCCTCGAGGAGTCTGTGGAGGTGCTTTGCCAGTGTCGCGTCACCCTGATGTACAGCTATGTGTTTGCCTACTATTTGCGGAACAACAACCAGAAGATCATCTTCGAGGACAATCAGCGGGATCTGGAGAGTGCCACAGAGAAGATCTCCGAGTGTCTGGAGCGCGAGATAACGGCCCTGAATCTGCCGAGCGTCAGGCAGAAGGTCCTCGATCTGTCGCACTATTGCGAGATGCGTCGCACGGTGCTGCTCTGTCATGTGCGCGAGGGCTACGACAAGGACTGGTGGGAGTTCACCAGCCTGGATGAGCCAGCCACAGAGCCTGCTGCCCCATAAGGCTGCCAATGCCAACCCGTTCGTCAGCGTACTGTTCCCGACACAAATCCAATCCTAAAAACCAACAAACAAAACAAAACTATTGGAAAATTTCACTGAAGACTAATATCAAAACCTTTTTTCTGTTCACACTTTTTGGCCTCCTCCTCGCTGGCTGGATCTGGCTAAAGATCCAGCCAAGAGCCTTCGAAATTCTGCAATAAATGGCAGTATGAAGTATGAAATAATCATACGAAAATGGCAATTATTTAAAGGTATTTTCTGGGTGGAATTTCTTTTTTCTTTTGAAAAATAATTTTCTTTATTTATTTTATTTGTTTATTTTAAATATTTTCTATGCATCCAAACTTTATCGGCAAGCATGAACTTGAAAGCGCTTTGCTTCAGCACTAATAATATTCCAAAAACCAGCTGTTCAAATAGCCAAGCGACTTTTATTTTATTCATTCTTCCTATATTAAGCAACCGATTGCAACCAGCTTTGGCAATCTTATAGTTATAATAATTCTTTATGATTCTGTGTTTTCGTTTTTCAATTGTTGCTTTTCGTTATCTTCTAGTGCTCCCCTTTTTGCGCTTAAAATGCCTTAAATTCTTGCACCTTTTCCTTCAATGTTTGCTCTTCATTCACCTTTTGCCAGCAGCATCTCATTTCCCCCTGCTGCTTCCACATATATGTATGTATGTATGTATGTATGTACTAGTATCTTTTATAATTATAACATAAATCAATCTGGAAATTTCTTGTTATACATTTGAGAGCAGCAGAGTGTAGCCGCGAAACGAAGCGATTAATGTCCGACAATGGAGCACAAAATATGGCATGGCATAAGGAAAATCATAAATAAAGCCATATATTGCCATGGCTCCAATAACGGATTGGATTGGTTTCGATTCGATTGGAATGGAACGGAACGGAACAGCCGTCCATCCGATGGAGTGCGAGTACCAGTACGAGTACGACTACGAGTACGAGAGTATATGAAAGAAATATTTCCTTATCGCGATGGCTTCCACAGCGAAACGAGCGCCGCCGCCAGGTGCAAAACGAAACGGACGGTGAATAAAAAACAAAAACAAGAACAAAAAAACGTTGGCTTGGAAAAGCCTTGGCCAATAGATTTACGGCAAACGGCAGCCAAGTCGTGCCTCTCTGTGGCTTAGCAGAGTGTGAATTTTCGCACCCGTGATGAAGTTTCCAATTAAATTTTATTGGATTTCAAATTGAGGCTGCCGCCAGAGAGAGACAGAGCGAGAAAGAGAGAGCGCGAAAGAGCGAGGGAGCCTGATCCGAGATCCCCCTAACTGCAGCCTGGGATTGACTGCCTGTTGCCTGTTGCCTGGTTGCCTGCCCCAATGCCTGCCCCATTGCCTTGGCTGCTGCCTGGTAAATATTTGCGCACCATTGTTGTGGCAAGTGTTGAAAGTGGGCGGGTTGCAATGCCACAGCACCAAACACACACACAAACGGCACCCATAATCGTCTACACCCGGCAGAGTGATTTCTTATGGCAGTTCAATTGCGGGGTCAGCAACGTGTCAGAATTCGAATTGCCTCATTGCCACATTGCAGATGCCACACCACCACACCATACCACGGCCCCAGTCCCACTCGTTGACTAATTTATGGATGCACTGTGGGAACACGCCTCTGTGGCACTGCAAATTATGAAATGCATTTCGGGGTTTATTTAATGGAAGAAAAACGAAAGAGAAAGATGCGGTCGGGTCTGCTCCTTTGAATCTTTGGTACCCATTTTCCAACATTTTATTTGCTCCAACTTTAAGCCCCACTCTACAGCCATCCACTCTACAGCCATCCACTCTACATATTTACCCACAATATCGGCTTGGCCATAAGGCAGGAAAGTGCCAGTGCCAGTGCCAGTCTTGCCAGGTCCTGCCAGGTCCTGCTTGCCCAAGCTGTGGGCTCATTCAACAAGTCAACAAACACGACACGAAGTAGCAAGAAAAAGAAACCTCAATCAGAGTGAGAGAGTCCTGGTGCTGTCCTGTCCTGCCGCCAGCAGTGCTGCCTCCCTCCTTGGTCAAGAGATGTGCCCTCAAGTGCGTTTCGTATTAATTTTATTTATTGGCCACAAAATCCACAGCCACAGACCAGCCCTAGACGCCGCAACCTCTAGCCATGCCTTCATTCCTCTCGCCCTCCCTCCGACAGCTTAACGGTCACAGTTCGTGTCCTGCTCCAGGGGACTGCTGCTCTGCCTCTTGGCTCCTGGCTTATTGAATTTTTATCTACAGTTTGCCTTTGTACTTACGGCATCTCCACTGAATCTGCAGTCTTGAATCTATTGCTCTCTCTCTCTCTCTCTCGAGCACTCGCCAGGGCGTTAGCTATTTTTATTATGGCAAATTCTTGAATTATGATACCCTGACAGTGAGAGGGTATTAATATTTTGCAGAGATGTTTGCAATAGCAACACAAACATACAGTGCGAGATACAAAGATATATACACACATATATATTCATGATCTGAAACAGTAGCTATGCAGAGTGCCGCTTCTGTTTGTTTTTTTAGAATTTATTTCTATTAATTAATTTAATTTTAAAAATTAATCAACTAAAAAATAAAATTAATAATAAATAATATTAAAACTAAAAAATAAAATTAATAATAATTAGTATTATTAAAAAAATAAATTTTAATAAAAAATTAAAATTAATAATTAATAAGATTACAACTAAAAAATAAAATTAATAATAAATAATATTACAACAAAAAAATTAAATTAATAATAAATAATATTACTAAAAAATAAAAAATGTTTGCTGTTGTTATTGGATTTAATTCAGACACTTTCGGCGATGTTTGTTGTTGGGGCTATGCAATCGATATTTCTGTATTATTCCTACCCTGCTCTACATTGTTTACTGATTTATTAATCGTAATCCATCCAAAGAACTGCACGGAACAGGGCCTACTTATAGCTCTCATGAAATATGCACTCAAAAAGTATGATTTTGTAGCACTTTGTGAGGCAAGTTTCTAACATCTCTGATTTAGATTAATTCTTTAAGTGTATCTAATGCTGCGACTTCAGGCCTGATGTCCCTTCTTTTCTTGGATTTTTCTTTCGCCCTTGTCTGCCACTTGATGTCCTTACAGTTGCTTAACAACTTGGTCGCGTACTTTCAATTATGGACCTTGGCCATTGTCCTTGACTCCTGGCCTCCGCTGTAGGTCGGTTAATAGTCCGAGACAATGGACCGGCCGTCAGTTGGTGTTGTAAGCCAAAGGATGAGGCTCGCATTTCGATTAGCGCGGAAAACTGTGTCAATGTCTGGCGTTGAATTCATCAGCTGAATGCGGGAAAATTAAGCTTGTTGGAAGGACAAAGCCCGCGATGTAATACCAGCTGTTGGCCAATTTGTTTTTGTGGTACTTTCTAATGGATAGTGGAGACAAGACCCGACCCCGTGGCTCCTATCTGCAGCGCATTAGTTAAGCCATTGAGCAGAAATGTGGCCGGGCATAAACAATCTGTGGCTGCCGCTGCCGTGCTGCTGCAAGCTCCTTCCTTGCCACACACTATCACTTCATCAGCGACGTGAATTTATGGGGCACTTTGCGCAGTCGCCTGAGCATCGTTGGCCATAATTTGGCCGACTCTGTGGCTCGAGTCCGTGAGTCCGCTCGAGTCGTCTTGGTCAGACGAGTGCACAAATTGTGTTGATATGCTGACAGGCGGCGCACAGCGCAACTGTAGCGCCGCACCGCGTCGCTACCTCTCCCCCCCTCCAGCATGAAACCTTCTAATGCGCCGACACTCATTTGCCTATCGCCTGCCACAGACGCAGCCTCAGCCGCAAAGTGCATCCAAACACGACTCTCTCTCTCTCTCTCTCTCTTCATCTTTTGTGAGGCCACTAAATTGAGGCACGCGCGCAGGCGTTGAACAGTGAAAAACAGCGAGAGAAAACAAAAAGAATTCAATTGAATTTAATTGAAGGCAGGCAAAAGGAGAACACTTCGAGGAGGCAGTGTGCCACAATGTTGCGCCACTAACTAGCTGTCACATTTTTGTTAAGTGCGTGGAATTGGAGCCAACACTCACGCTGACACACAAGTGGAGGAGCCTATCTTAATGAGTGCCAGGCGGAATACTCTTCTCCAAGAAAATAAGACCTCCAATCGTAAATAAAAGAGTAAAAATTCCTGATAAATAAAATTTCACCAATAAGCAGCTCAACGAATTTTCTCTTCCAGCCCGTATACCCTTCTTTTGGTTAGGGTATACGCGTACACATAACAAATGTCATTTTAGCAAATTAAACGCATTCCACAGTCCAGAGAGAGAGAGAGGCAAGAGGAGAGTGCCTTGGGCTGTTATCATCACCATCTTTCATCAACATTTACGTTGCTGCGTTTTAAGCGCAAACAAAAAGAAAGAAAGAAAGAAAAAAAAAAGGTCGTGCCAATTTAATTAAGCGGCATTTCATTTAATTATTTCATATATTGATTGAAAAATGTGTAAAGCTTTTAATTGCATCAAAGTGGCCACAATTCGAGGCGGCAACACACAGCACACAGCACAACGAAACACCAGAGACAGAAACGAGAAATGAAATGAATGCAAAAGCCCTCAGAGCCCTCCCAAATGGATGTGTTTAAACACATTTTCCCCGCTTGAATCAATAATAATTTCAATAATTTTGTTTGACTGAAATTGATTTGGACACCCCCCCTACCCCCGACAGCAGAGATGCACATGAATTTAATGTATTTATTTCATTTGCAATGATTGAATGGCAATGGCAACACGAATGAATGAATGAGCGACTGCCAATGATGATGGCAGTACAATTGGACAAATCAATGGAGTACGTATTCAAATTTGATGTTGCATGAGTCCTGCCTACGTCCTGCCAGCAGTACTGGCTCGTTTCGTCCTTGTCCTGGCCCGTAAACGTATCAATTATGCGGCATATTTCTGCTGCTATAAATATTTACATTGAAATTAATTATTTTATATTAAAATGACCGCAAAACATTTTACACTCGAACGGTGGCTAGGATCTGGCACATCCAATCGATTTCCACTGTGCTGCTGGGCGTGTGGCATTTATTTGTGTGGATTTCTGTATACCCTGCAGCGCAGCCTTGCCTTTATAGAACAGCTAAATAATAATAAATAAATAAAATAAATAATCGAACTTCTTTATCTCATATCTTTATCTACTCTAATTCTTTTTAGTATCTGTTTTTTTATTATTATTATTA